GACCTCCCCAGTCCCCAGCTTTCCCCGTAGCCACGGGTCACTCAGCTGTTTTTACAGTTCAAAACTTTCTCTCTCCTATTCCTTCCCTCAAAGCCTGCAGGAAAGAATGCTAAGTTTGTAACAACACCGTTATCTTCCTTGAGAGAATTACATTTCTCTCAACAGACATAAAACAACCCAAAGGAAACAGTGTGAAAATTCCCACGCTGAAACAATATTCTTAGCATCTGCAGCTGCAAACTTATCTTGAGTGAAAACAACTAAAGAAAAACAGATCTTCCACTTTCAAGCCCTTCCTCCTCACAGCAAGGTAAGGGAGGGGTAGGCAAGGCAAAGCAAGACCAGTGAGGGGAAGGCAAGAAAAGGGAAGGGAGTGGTAGGTAAGGGAAGGCCAGGAAGCAGTAGGATGGGTAAACAAGGCAGGAGAGAAGGCGGCAAGTCAAGTGGAGAGATGAGTAGGCAAGGCAGGGGGAGGGAGGTGTAAGCAAGGCAAGGCAGGGCAAGAAAGGGGCAGACAAGTGAAGGAAGGGGATAGGTATGGAAAGCAATGCAAGCAAAGGAGTGGTAGTCAGGGCAAGGCAAGGTAGGTGAGAAGTAGGCAATGAAAGGCAAGGCAAGAGAGGGGTAGGCAAGGTAAGGTGAGGTGAAGGAGGGGTGGGAAATGAAAGGAAGGACACGGAGCGGTCAGTAAGGCAAGGCAATGCAAGTCAGAGGAGAGGAAGACAAGGCAAGGCAAGGCCAGGCAAGAAAGGGGTAGGCAAGTCAAGGAATAGATTGGTGTGCAAGGCAATGCAAGCCAAGGGAGGGGTAGTCAGGGCAAGGCAATGCAAGGGATTTGTGGGCAAGGCAAGAGATGGGTCTGGAAGGCAAGGCAAGTGAGAGGTAGGCAATGAAAGGCGAGGTAAGGGAGGTATAGGCTATTCAAAGCCAGGCAGGAGAAGGGTAGGCAAGGCAATGCAGTGCAAGGGATAGTCAGGCATAGCAAAAAAAAGGCAAGGTTGGGGAGGAAGGCAGGTAGGCTCAATGCTTCAGGGGCAGATGACAGGCTGCAGCAGCCAGGAGCAGCTTGTTGTCCTAGCACATTTTGTGTGGGAGCAATCCCCTGACACTTGCCAGTATGGAGGTGGTATCAAATTTTTGGAACTAACCTTCTGAAAAAGGATAACAGTGCTCTTCCTTAAGAATGAAAGCACATCGTCCTGCAATAATAATTGGGTGTCCAGGAAATGAAAGAGACAGCCACAGGTTTTCTGTCTGGCATCTTTTGTGGGGGAGCAACCTCACAATGTCAGGTTGTCTCCACATTTCAGAGGTGATCTCTGTAATATTTGGCAGTCCTTTTATTTTGGGCCACATAAAGCTATTTCCAGTCTTGATGTATAGATTATATACTGTACTGGGGAGGTGTAATGCCCAGTAATGGTGTTCTGGTACCTTCATATGGGATCAGTCCCTGGATGGTTTCTATTCTGAGGTGGGGGAGTCACATTTCTTCTGAGATGTGGGGTCTTAGTTGCTCTCTGTGGCATGGAAACGATTTTTGGATCCTCACATTTGGTGGGCTTGGTGAATTTAATTGCTTTTCCTAATATACAGTGCTACCGGTTAGAGCTGTTAAATCTCTAGAAGGGGAATGTAAAAGCCAAGCTGTTGGGCTTTTTGTCCTGGTCCTTTTAGTGTCTGAGCACTTAGTGGTGGGGTTCAGTTTTGGATCCTGACTCTGTGACACTGAAGGATTATGAGGGTACATAGAAGGTGCAGATACTGGCATGTGAGGTGCAGTTCAGTGGGTGCAGCTGAAGGTGGAGACAGCAAGAGCTTTCTCTCCTAGCATTTTTGTGAGTTGTGTTTTTGCTGGACGTTTTTGCTGGACGTTTTCGATTTTGTTGCTGGATTCTGAGAGAGTGAAAAAATGCATTAGCACATATAATTGGGAAGGAGTGCGTGTTGCCACTCGAGCGTGGTGCAAATAAGAGTTTGCACATGAACGGGAAAGGTCAGCCAGAACCTTTTTGTCCTGACACATTTAGTCTGAGACCAGTGAGAGGACGTTGTCACCTTTGGAGCAGCACTTTGGGCTGGTTTGTGCGTACACAGGGCCATCTACAGGAGCTCTTAAACGGCGATACGGGGGGAACGTCCACTAGATGGCCCCGTGCACGAGAAAAAGGCGTAAAAGGGACCATGGTTACCTCAAAACCGACGAATGCGAAGATCCAAAGTTCAAAACGTCCTCTACTGCTCTCAAAGAAATCGTGCCAGAAATCAGAAAGACTTCGCTGACCGTCCCTTCCATTTGCAGGCTTGTATTTGCACAACAATCAAGTGGCAGTTGGTTTTCCTTGCAGCCTGAAAACTGCACACAATTTCCATCTCCGCTATACGTAGCATTGTGCACTTTTTCGGTCTCATGGGAGTCTGAAAGGTCCAACCACTTCTCGTACAAAAAAATGTCCTTCCCCGTTCATGTGCAAACTTTTACTTGCAGCACGCTCGAGTGGCAACACGCACTCCTTCCCAATTATATGTGCTAATATATTTTTTCACTTTTGCAGAATCCAGCAACAAAAACGCAAACATCTGGCAAAAGTAACTCTCGGAGAAGCGTCAGATGAGAAAGCTGCTGCTGGCTCCGCCTTCAGCTGCATCCATTGAACTGCACCACAGCCCCGGTATCTATAGTTTCCTTCTCAGCTCTACGAACCATCACAACCTTCGGTCTCACGGAGTCAGGATCCAGAACTGAACCCCACCACTGAGCGGGGCTGCGGCCGTGGGGAGCGGGAGGTGCTCCCGCTGTCGGGGCGAGGGGCGTGTCAAAGGGGCCCCTCCCGCGGATCCACCGCCGCCTCGGGTCCCGTTCCCGGGAGCTCCGTCCCCTGCCCCGCCCCGGGGTCTCGCCGCGCTCTCGGGTCCCTTCCCCAAGGCCCCCCCGGAGCCACTCGCGGAGCCCCCGCGGGCACCCGGGGCGGGGGCCGGGGAAGGGCGGAGCGTTCTTCGGCCCGGGAGCGGTTCCGGGTCGGGAAGGCGGGATCTGCGGAGGAACCGGCACCGCGGAACGGCGGCGACATGGTGGGGAGGGGGTCGGCGGGGAGAGGGGGGAGGCGCAGCGGCCCCGCGGCGGGCTCTGACCGCCTCTCCCCCCGCAGCGGTTCCGCTTCTGCGGGGACCTGGACTGCCCCGACTGGGTGCTGGCCGAGATCAGCACCCTGGCTAAAATCGTTAAGTGCCCGCGCCCCCCGCGTTCCCCTGCCCGCCCCCTGCCCGCCCCGGGCCCGCTGCTCACCCTCCTTATTCCCCGCAGTCCTCGGTGAAGCTGAAGCTGATCTGTGCCCAGGTGCTGCGGGACCTCCTGGGGGAGCCCATGGAGGTGAGTGCGGGGCTACCGCGGTGGAGGCCAAGTGTTTCAACACTGCAGTGGCATAATCAGCAATATTAATTAATTTCATATTCTTCGTGCAGCCTCTGCAATAAGAATGCTACCAGCCACTGCTAGTAGGAATACTATGAATATTAAATGTTATTAGTATTAATATTAAGGTAAAAATTATGAGTATTAATGTTGGTAGTGAGTGTGTTACCTGGTGTTTACTGTGATGCTCTGCTCTCCCGCAGTATGAGAAGGTCCTGAAGCTGACCTCGGACGCAAAGTTAGGTGAGCACTGGCTGTCCTTACTGGGATCCCCCTGTGGAGCCCCACTCTGGGGCTGGGCAGCGATTCGGCTGGAGTTGCCTTCCCAAGGTGGCAGAGCTCACCCTCCATCCCATCCGCAGAGTCAGGGGACGTGAAGGCGACCATCGCTGTCCTCGGCTTCATTCTCTCCAGTGCAGCCAAGCACAATGTAGACAGCGAGTCCCTGTCAAGTGAGCTGCAGCAGCTGGGGCTGCCCAAAGGTAGGGGGGACCCTCAGTGTGGCACCAGGGGCCAGACCTGGTGGGATGTGCCCAACGCAGTTCCCAGCACTGCTGCCTTCACGCTCAGATGCAGGGCAGGGTGGAAACCGTGCTGTTCTCCATCACCTCCCTGCTGCGCCATCCATCCCCAGAGGCTCCTCAGGTGCTTTGGTGGGGTTTGGTAACTGCAGGGCTGGTGTGAGCAGGGGGGTTCTTGTCCTGTTTCTCCTCACGAGCAGAGCATGCCAGCGGCTTGTGTCGTTCCTACGAGGAGAAGCAGAGCTCCCTCCAGGACAGCCTCAGGGCCTGTAGCCTGCGATGTGAGTGGGATGGTTGGGTCTTAACAGGGTTTTGAGTGTTGGTGGCAGTCACCCTGCTGGAGTGAGCCAGGGTGCTGACACCACCCCCACTACCCACCCCAGTGAGCCAGCTGGGCTTGGTGCGCTGGCGGGTGGATTACACCCTCAGCTCCAGCGAGCTGCAGGAGGTCAACGAGCCCCTGGTGCATTTGACGTTCAACGTGCAGAACAGGGAGTGCGGGAGAACGACGGCTGTCTCTGTGACCCTCTCAGCTGACAAGTTCCGAGTGCTGCTGGCAGGTGAGGCTGGAGGATGGGTGGCAGCAAGGACCTCCAGGGCTGTGGGGGATGCTGGGGGGGATGCTGCTGGGGATGTAGCGGCTCCCCCCCAGCTCCATCCTCTCTCTGCAGAGCTGAAGCAAGCCCAGACCCTGATGAACACCCTTCTCTGAGGAGCCAGCCTCCCATGGTGGGAGTCACGGGCACCGAGTTGCTAGGTCGGATCTGGTGCTTCTGGCTGGGAAGGGGGATTTTTCCCTGCTCTCCTGGCTTCTGGGGACCCTCGGGGTAGCTTCAATAAAGTCCCGGTGACAAAGCCGAGCTGTGCCGTTCTGTGTCTCCCCGCGGCGGGGCCGCCCGGCAGGACTACAAGCTCCGGCATCACCGCGCAGCCAATGGGAGCGCGCCCCGCCCGCCGCGCAGCCAATGGGAGCGCGCACCGCCCGCCGCGCAGCCAATGGGGGCGGGCGGGCGCAGTGGGAGCTGCCGGCGGCAGCGCGGTGGCGGCTCCGCGGTGCGGTGGCGGCGATGCCCGAGTGCCCGGAGCTGCACCTCGCCGGGTGCTTCATCAACGGCGTGTGCGGCGGGCTGGTGTTCGCGGGCGGCGTGGAGCGCTCGGCGGTGGGCCGCGGCCCCGAGGTGCCGTTCCGCAGCGAGGCCTACCGCATCTCGGCCCTTGCCCGGGGTAAGGAGCTGCGGCTGACGCTGAGCGCGCTGGACCCCGCCGCCGCCCCCCCGCCGCAGGACCTCGTGTTTCGTTTCGGCATGTCGGGGTCGTTCCGGCTGTGCCCAGCCGCCGAGCTGCCCCGCCATGCCCACCTCCGCTTCCTGACCCGCGAGAGCCCCCCGCGGGCCCTCTGCTTCGTGGACGCCCGCCGGTTCGGGTCCTGGCGCCTGGGGGACGCCTGGCAGCAGGAGCGCGGGCCCTGCGTCGTCTCCGAGTACCAGGCTTTCAGGTGAGCGCCCTGGAGGAATGCCCCCTGGTTGGGTTTGGCTGCCTTTCCTGCACAGACATGCCCCGGTGACTCTTGTTGCCCCGTGCTGTGTTGCAGGGAGAACGTGCTGAGGAATCTGGATGACAAGGCTTTTGACAAGCCCATCTGTGAAGCCCTCTTAAACCAGAAGTATTTCAATGGAATTGGGAATTACCTGCGTGCTGAGATCCTGTACAGGTAAAGTGGGTTGAGCATCCGCTGACCTGCCATGGAGGTTTGGTCTCCAAGAGTTTGCTGGAGCTCGATGGCTCTTTGGCTAAGCTGGCTGTGCCTCCTCACCTGGTAGATGTGGACAGTGCCAGAACCCAGGGCTCAGGCTTGTGTGTAACTCTTTCAGGTTGAAGATCCCTCCCTTTGAAAAGGCTCGGACTGTGCTGGAGGCCCTGAAGGATCAGAAGCAGGAGAGGAGGAAGAAGGTGAGGAATACCAGGTTGCTTTCACAGGATCAGAAGGTGGCAGATGTCGTACCAGGGCTTTGGTTGCCTGTGGCCCTGCAGGACGAGCTGTGCCCAGCTTCTGCCTTCAAGAAGTCTATGAATATTTTTGGGGTGGGTGAAGAAGAAAAGATAATTGAAACAAACACCTTGCAAGCTTGAAATCTCCAAGAAGGCTGTAGTAAAGCCTAAAGCTGTTCTCGTGAACTTTTAAAGTGACTATTTTAAAGAAGCCTGAAGACAAACTACATGACCTGAGGGGTGTTTTTAAAATTGCTGATGTTTGTGTGTGTTAGCCCTCTTTCATGTCTTTGTAGCTAAACTGGAAGCCCACAGTGGGGTGAGCTCAGGGCTGGCATGTATGGAGAGTGTGGCAACTCATCCTCAGGAGGGCAAAAGACAAAGAATTTGGCTGCTGTTGGAGAGGAGAGACCCCGAGGAGGCAGAAGTAGCTGGCAGGTGACTTTCCTCCCCTTCTCCACCCTTGCAGGATCCTTCCCTGACACTGAGCAAGAAGGTGAAGCTGATGAGGAAGAACCCAGATCTCCTGGAGCTGTGCCACACCGTGCCCATGGAGGTCATCACGGCAGGTGAGGCAACAGGACAGGATGCTGGGGAACAGGGACAGCTGGGAGAGGCTGGGGCTTTGCATTCCCGGCATCAGGAGGTTTGGGAGGGCATCCTGACACCATGGTCATGGCTTCTGCTCTAATTCTGTCCTTTCTCCCTTCCTAGAGAAGCACCTTTTGGACCCTGAGCACTCGGATAACTACGCCACCTTCAAGAACTGGCTGCAGTGTTACTTGGTGCCTGGCATGAGCTCCCTGCGTGACCGCAACGGCAGGACCATATGGTTCCAGGTAGGTGCCTGGGGTCACTCCCTGGGGCTCCCAAACCACACCTCCAGCCCATTTTCTGCTTGCTGAGACTCCCAAACATTACACTGTGTGGCTGGAGATCTCCCTCTCCACCAAGCTGCTGGGCATGGAGGTGACCAGGACCCTCTGTGTGATGGCCAGCTGGCCAAGGGATGGTGGGCAGTCTGGAGCAGATGGAGGGAATGAGGTCTGGAGCCCTGTTCCTCCCTCCTGTGCCCTGTGTCTGTGGCCTTGCAGGAACAGGACTGACAGGAGAGTCCCCAGTGCACAGGGCAGGCAGAGCAAGCCTGACTCTCCTGGCTTCCCAGAGAAATGTGGCCCTTTCCCTATCACTGCGAGAGAGAGAAGGGGCAGGGATTCTGCTGCTGCTGCCTGCAGAATGACTGCACCCCAGTCAATGCTCTGTCCCTTCCTTGCAGGGAGAGCCTGGTCCCATGGCTCCCACAGGTGAGTGTCCTCTCTCCCGCCCGTGGGACCCACTGTTGCTCTGGGAGGGCTGGACACTGGGCAGCCCTGTCTTTTCTGTATAGCACAAGGGCACAGGCAGGAGCAAAGCCCCTCTCCCTGGGGTGCTGACAGGCCTGTGACAGCCGTTGGCACCAAGGGACAGAGCCCATTTTCCCCGGGGCTTCCTACCGGCATCCCAACCTGCTTGGGCACAGCTGTTGCACTGGCAGGATGGTTTTTCGTCCTGCAGTTTCTCAGTGCTCAGCTCACATCACCCAGGACAGCATCCCTGCAAGCATGTCCCTCACTCCCCCTGACCTGGGCATGTCCTCTCATGCAGGGCAGAAGCACCAGAAGATGCCCCGCAAAAAGCGCGCTCAGCTGAAGGCAGACCCTGAGGCACTGACCCCTAAGGTAAGCAGCTTTGTGGTTGTGTCTGGCTGTCCTGTTCCCCCTAACCTTGCTCAGGCTGCTCCTGAATTCATGGTGGTGATCCCATATGGAGCTTCTCATCCTCTGTGGTGCTCCAAGCACGCTTCTCCTGCTAAGCCGCAGCTCTGATGTCCGCCCAGGTCACCTCACGCGCCTTGAAAAGGCGCCCCAGGGCTGCAGCAACCCCCCAAAAGTCAGATGAGAAGGAGGAAGGGGAGGAGGAGGAGGAGGAGGCTGATGGGCCGAGGAAGGGACGTGCTCGCCGGAGGAGGAGAGGGACCCCTGCTCCAGCCTTGCCTGAGCCAGAGGTGCTTCTCAACACCAGAAGAAGCCGCCGGATGTCTGCACGCAGGGGCAGAGGTGAGGCTGGCAGCCCCTGTGGCTTTCAGGTGCACAGGTGGGGGCTGTGGGAGTGCTCAGTTGTATCAAAGGGACTGAGGGGTGCCAGATGGCAGGAGAGGAGCCAGTGGGGCAGAGCCAGACACTCCCTCACCCTCTGACTCCTCCTTTCCCTCTCTGTTTTTCAGCTGCAGTCTCTGTCATGTGAGTGCTGCCCACTGCCCACCTCTTGAGGGACATTTAGTGGCCCAGGAGAAGCTCAGGGAGGGCTTGGGGGAAATGGAGCTTCTCTGTACCTGTGCTCACAGCTGCTTGCTACTGTTGCATCCTGCCAGTGCGTGAGAGAGAAGCTGGGCTTGGTGGTGGGGTATTTTCCTGCTGTCCAGAGGCATTAGAGGGGAAGAAGAGCCAAGACCTTACATTGTGCTGCACTCTGACTCTTCCCTCTGCCTAAAACTGGGTTCTCTCTTCCCTTTCTGGCTGCTGCTCCAATCACTGTTTTTAGCTGACTAAATAATAAAATATTTTGTGTAGAAATCACTGTGCACGCCTTTTCATGCGAAGGATAACCCCTCTGTGCCCAGCCTCTTCCCCAAGGGGCTGTAGCAGGCTTCCCCTCTACCTCACCTCCCCTAAAGTAAAGATAAGCTCTGCCTCCCCAGTTCCATGAGTAGTGAGATCCTGCTGAGGAGGACACTAAGGGAGCAGCAGCTACAACAAAGCAGCTGGAAGGAGGCAGGTCAGTGCAGTTACCTGGAAAAAAGTTAAGAAAACAGGCTGGAGCTTGATGTAATTCTCTTATTTATTTGTGTTCTCCATCTGCAAGGGCAGTGCAAGGGGCAGGCAGAGGAAGGGGGGAAGGAGTAGAGTGTGTTTTTTATAGTCACTGCTAGACAAGATTAAGGCTCAGACACAGGAGCCACTGTGGAAACTGCTACTCCCCAAGGCCCTGGGGCTGAAGCAGAGCCCATGCAGGGCCACCAGTCTGTCCACATCCTTATCCACACTTCAGCGAGCTCAGCACTCAAGCCCACCTACCCTGCTTGGGCAGTGGGCAACTGTCCTCCTTCCCTGAGGAACACGGTTGTTCTCAAGCGCTGCTCTCTGATGGATGGGTGTGGGACACGGGGACACTGCCCTGCTCTGGAACTGCTGTCTTGTACAGCTCTTGGGATCGAGGAAGGCTCAGGCTGTGATTTGAGCTCACAGTGTTGGTCCAGGCTGCTGCAGCATCAGCCAGAGCGGTGGATGGTGTCACTGGCTCAAGACCAAGAGGACAGAGAGCACGCAGAAGGGTGTGAAGGAGAGCCTCAAGCCCTGCTGCCCCAGGGGCAGGGTGCCCTGTGCAGCTGGTCGCTCCAGGAGGTCGCAGCTGAGGAGGAAAGCACATGAGGCTGAAGGCACTGATCTCCATCCCCATGCACACCCAGCCCTTTGGCATGGACCATGGACTTACAGCATCGCCTCCTTAACGGGGAGGGAGGTCTGGAGCCAGGCAGTAACCGTGCTGCCATACGCCTCGTAGAGCCGAACCACCACGGCTTCAGGTCTGCCCTCAGCCTTTGGGGGACAGTGCAGGTGGGAGTTCAGACAAATGAGACAGGCACAGCCTCTCCAACCCACGTTGTTCTGCTCAGCTGAGCCTAACCGCCACTCAGTGTGGAGGAAAGAGCAAGCCATGCTTGACAACAGCACCTTAACCCCCTCTGCCCTCCCCCCCCTCCCTGGCACCTGCCTGCTTGACGGTCTCCAGCACGATGGCAGGTGAGCTGACAGAAAAGGCACTCCAGGCTGGGCACTGGGCAGAGCTGGCCGGGACCGCGTGGAGGGGGAAATTCAAGTTGTAGGCACGCTGAATGACACCAGCCTCCTGGAAGGAACCTGCATCACAAGAACCTCTGTCCAGCCTCGGCAAGCACGGTCAGAGACACACTCACCCCAAGGTTCACTGGTGCATCCCCCACCCTGTGTGTTCCTACAGGGCCTGTCACTCACCCCGGTGAGGCATCACAGCGTAGGTGAACTGGTGGTGCCCAATGTCTGCTGTGGAATCAGGGGACTTGGGTGCTCTCAGCCTAAGGCAACGAGATGTTAGTGAGACTGGTGTCTTGGCAGCACCCACTGCCACACAGAGTAGAGCCAGAGGAGCACTGTGACAGCTGCTCCCCTCGCTACCTTGAAGCTGGGCCCAGGGGTGGAAGCAAACATGCAACAGCAAACAGACCCTGGACAGTCCCAGAAGCTTAAAAAGCTTGGGTGTCTTCCTGTGAAAATTGTGGCTGACAGAGTCAAACTGAGCTATACAGTTTCTTTTAGCTTGGTATGCACTTGTAACATTAACACTGCTGTTCCTTCCCTCTCATTAAGCCTTCCCTCTTGGGGTATGTTCTGGTCAGCAACAGAAAAATCTGATCTCTCCTGAATTATCTATGAGCATAGCTCACAGGAATTAGTTATAATGCAAGTCAGCCAAATTCTCAGACAACAGACACCCATTAACTAAGGTCATTTAGGATCAGGTGTTGCCTCGACTTCCAAGAGACAGCTCACAAGACAAAGCACCTGCAGCAGCTCCCCCCTCATCCATCTGTAACTCACAGAGAGAGGCTGAGGACGTTCCTGTGGGCTGATGCCCCATATTTGCAGTCGTTCAGCAGAGCCACCCCGAAGCCGTGCTCAGAGAGATCCATCCACTTGTGAGCCCACACCTGCAGCAGGTACCAAGGGATGGGCTCACTACAGAGAGCCACTGCCAGGAGCAGGAGCAGCTCGGTGCTGGGACCAGGCCACCATCCCTCTCACCTCGAACCGAGCCCAGTCCCAGGATGTGTTCCAGTGTGTTGGCCGCTGCACGTGTCCAAACTGGATCTCGTAGGTGGCGTTTGTGCTCCGGACCTGCACAGGGAACTCCACCTTCAGGAACTTGTGAGCCTCCTTCCACTCAACCTAAATGTGGGAGCAGAAGGGCATCACCATGGGGTCTGACAGGCAGAAACCACACTTTTCCTTCCCTGGTGTGCAGCAGCTGGCTTGCACACAGCCAACATAAGCTACAGTAAAACCACACCAGAGTCTCAACACCAGGGTGAATTCTTCTTGTCCCTCGGGACCTCCCCCCACCCTCAGGCTGCCTTCCCTTAAGGCAGAGGAGGACAGGCAGTGGGGGGGGTTCCAGGGAAGAAAACAGGAGGGGGAATGTAATTCCTGCCACACAGGATGTTGGTATCACGCAGCAGCCACGGGCCAAACCTGGGTCAGGAAGCGGAGGTATGGGCACGTGGCATCCAGGATGATCTCCTGGGTTAAGGTGCTGCTTTTCCCGACCTGCAGGGAGAACCTCACACTTCCCCGCAGGCCCCCAGCCAGGGTGATTTCCAGAGGCTTCAGCAGCGTGGTCACTGGCTTCCTAGACAAAAGAATGAAGGCAGAGATAGTCTCAGCATAGTAGATCCAGGTTCCCAAATCCCAGTCCAGCCTCCCACATAGGAGGCACTCACTTCTCCAGAGTGAATGCTCTCTTACAGCTAGGACTGACAGGGAGGCAAGAATCTTAGGGCAAAGCCAAAATCCAAGTGCTGCTTGCACTGCTCCCTCTACCTGGTTTCCAAGTGATAATCCATCACATCCCAGGCATCCCAGTAGAGGGGAACATCATCAAAGAGTGCAAACTGGTTCGCATGGCAGCCCTCTGGGACTGACTCTCTGAAAGAAAGTGGAACAGAGAAACAGCAGCATCAGAAGGGCTGGCAGTGGACAAGAGTGTACAGTGAGAAGTCATCCTGGGAGAGGTTTGAGGAGCCCAGGGCCAGTGACTGGGTGACACAGACCTCTCGGAGTCCAGCAGCCGAAGTGAGGTCAGGTGTCCCATCATGTCCAGGCAGACAGCAATCACCCCATTCTCCATGGTAATGGAGCCATCCACCTTGGAAAAAGGACAGAAAACAGGTGTCACAGACCCACAACTGCAGGAGCTGAGTGCCTCAGTTGCAAATTTACTATGTGGATTTGCTGGATGCTGGATTCCTTAGATTTCTCCCCAATCAACCTTTGACACAGGGAACATGGATCTGAAGCAAACTGCCTTGTGCTTACCTGCTTCCTCACTGACACAGGCTGAGAGGGCAGCAATGGCTCCCTCACTAGAGCATAGCCCATGCTGGGGACTGTCACGAGAGCTGGAAAGCAAAGAGGTTCTATTCCAACATCAGCCCCAGACTGAAACCTAAGTCACACTGTGCTGCCCTAGCGCTCTCACATCAGACCTACTACCTCCTCTCATACCCTCCTCTTCTTCCTCCATACTTCAGGGGACTTTATTCCATTTCAAGTTGTCTAAAGAAGAGTTTGAACAGCCAGTAAAGCCCTCCCCAGGGCAGGGAGAGGCAGAGTATTCCCTTGTTAGCTGACTCTGCCCCTGTAAGAAATTCTGATACAAGAGTTATCCCAGGTCAGACATACCCAAAGTCTCTGTTCCATCTGGCCCAGGCCTGGAGATCACCTCGGTGCGTTCCCAGGGCAAAGTGTTCAACACAAGGGTGCTTTTGGTGCTCCCTGCCTTGGGCTGCAGCAGATCCCTGCACAGGGACTGCACAGCCTCCTCCTGCAGCTCAGCACCAATCCTGCGGATCTCTGTACAACAAAAGGGCCTAAGTTGGATCTGAGAGAGCTTCTGGCGCTCCTGTGCAATGCACACACACTTTATCGCCTGCCAAGCTACAATTACTAATTATCATTAATTATTATTATCTATTAGTGAGTAATTCAAGTGTATAATTATTCTTAACTTTGTTATTACAAGATTACGACGAGCTATGGCAGCTCAGCTGGAAAATTCTGGTTAACTAAGCTCCTGCAAGCACCCATGAGCAGGCAGGAGCAAACCTTCGTGGAGGTCTACCCTGGCATGCCAACAGCAAGCAGAGAAGTCAATAAATTGGGATGGTTTTCAATCCCTTGGCTCCCCTGCTAATTTAACACTATTTCAGACATATATCTGCACAGGCTTGCCCTGGTAGTCCAAGATTGAAACCACTGCAGCCCCACCAGGCAGGACCCAGTGTGCTCTGGCATGAAGTGCCCTCCTAGCCAAACTTCTGCTCACCTGTGTAGTATTGCAGGGCATCCTCAACCACGAGCTGGATACAGCTGCCTGGCAGGACATCATGGAACTGGTTGAGTAGCAATAACCTAAAAGAGAGCAGAACCCAGGAGAGGATGCGAGAGCACCGTATTTGTTCTGGCTTAGAACAAACCAGAAAGTTCTTCTCTCAAACAAGAGCCCTGTTTGCAAGCCAGACTAACTTAATAACTGTTCCTTATACTCCCATTAGCCAACACTTCAGAGAAAAGGATTTTTTCCATAGCATCCTTTAAATCCCTTTATGTTAGGGCTTGTCAACTGTCATCTTAGTAAAGTACAACCATGGGGAGTACGAGCTATTTCTTTTTATCCCCTAAGGCTACCAGATATGTTGTTGTACAAGTTCAGACATGTCAAAACTGGGGAGGAACAAGCTTAGGTTGGAAATGAAGCTTTC